TCAGATACAGGCGTCCTAGTTCCGCGATCCGCTATAGCGCAAAGAGCTCAGGTTGGCTGGGTTCCAGCAGCTTAGTGTTACCCCAAGCTGCTTTTTCAGATGAAGCTAACTTTGGAAGGTAATAATCCTTCTGAAGGGATTTATTGCGTTTCTTTTCGTGGGTTTCATACCTGATGCATTTCCTCCACCTTATTTCTGCTCTTGACACGTGTTGAGAATGCTTTTTGTGAAGTTATCAAAAAATTTATGAATTGTTGGGATTTTCTGATGTGAAAACTAGACTTACAATGGAAGTTTTTTATATGTTCTGTCTATTCGTTTTTGAATGCTTCAATGTCTGTTAATTGGCTTAAGAAGTGCTTATTCTTAAAAATTTTAAGTCATAAGGGATGATTTGGTTAAAGTTATAGGTTGAAACTTCTGATCTACAGCTTTTTTTTTTCTTTTTGAAATTTAGTGTTGTTATTGACTGCTTCTTTGGTTTTAATCGTTATCTCCTTCAACTTCATGCTTGCTTCTTTTTAGGCAGCCAAGAAATGTTCTATCTTTTGTTGCCTGTTCAGTAAGGGGCGACATGAGTGTTGCATGAAACTATTAACTTTTTTGTTGCTAATGCAGCAAAGAATTACTAATATATTCAGTAATATATTTATATAAGCGTTGTATGACAGTTATTAATTCCCAGCAGTTATTGCTGTGAACAAACTGGACGTTCGAAAAATCTATAAGCTAAGTCATAAAAAAAAACTCTATCAAAAATCAGCTTATAAGTTCAGAAAGAGGCACTAATACTTGCTAATAAAGAAAAGGAAATAAGCGGGAAAAAGTATTAGGTGTAATATTTGCAACAAGGAACGAAAAACAACTTTAAAGAGAAGGTTAATCTTACTAAAATTAACTTTACCACGGATGCAATACACAGGTGATGAAACCCTGAACTCAAGCACTTTCAATTGCAACAGATTGCATAAAAAATTTGTAAGTGAAAATGGCGTTATATTTAATGCACATGGAGCACTCAAAGACACTCCGGAATTAAATACATTTAAAATAAAAGTGGAGAGGAATGGATGCGCTTTCGCAGGTATTTTCTGCAGTCCGTCTTGTAAAATTGCATGGTTGAATACCACAGTTGAATGGTTAGACTCCAGTAGATTTATTAGGACAATGACAGTTATTTAGGCATAAAATCCTGGAAAAATTTTCAGTAATATAGTACAAATGAATATACATAAGCTGTTTACGGCTATAGATCCATGTCGCGTAGTCGGTTGTCTCCTCCATTCTCTGGTACACCTCTCTCCTACGTTTTTGACATTGCACAAGTCGTTCAGAGTAAGGATTATTAGTGTGATATTTATGCTCAGGAAAAACGTCTGCAGAAGAAAGAAAAATTAAAAGTTACCGTGGACAAAATGACTATAATGACATTCTTTGGATTTAATCTAACACAGAAATTATACTGTCATGAGGAATATGCTAATGCTGCGGGATTTATGAAAACTTCTCAAAACTTTGAAAAACTTCCTGCGATAAAACCAACTTGATACGTATTAAACCCTTCTATAGTCAGTATGTGCCATTCTTCCAAACAAGATTTTGGAATAGCACACGGTAGCAGCACGTTTGCGTGCGCGTTTTTTGTTCCAGTGCCTTTTATGTCGCGTTAGAATCTGCCACTGTTCTTACATTGGATCAAATTTCCATACAGTAACTGACTGGTCAACAGTAAATGAGGAAAAAAGATCTGTTACAGCTAATTTTTTTAGACTAAAATGTTTATTGACTTCGAAATATTTTGCTTATCAAGTTATGACCTATATTTTATTTGACTTTATATAAATAATCATTGTAAACAGAATAACATTGTAACTTGATAACAAAATAAAAATCACATTATCATAGCATATATGGGTGAAAAAAGGTATGATAAGAAAGAGCGATGTACTTTACAAAGAAGGATGCAAAACGAAGAGTTGATGAGTTTCAGTTTGCTAGTGTTGCCCTTTCTTTTCTAAAGGATCATTTCCGAATGTTGTCGTCAGTATGACATAGTTTGTACGTGAACCCCGCTATTATTGTAATAGGACACACAAAAGACTAGTAGAAAATTGATTTTGCAGTTGCATAAAATGTAACATAACAGAGCGCAACAAAAACGTTAAAAGAGAAACAGTTTAAATTTTATTTCAGCATTTTCTGGAAAGGCTATTTGAACTACGCCGACCTAATTTGTTACTTCGTGTATATATAATACTTTCTTACGCTGACAGTTTTGCTAAGAAAACTGCGTCTGAGTGATATGTCACCATAAAATTTATGTGCGAAAATTTCAATGTGTTATGAAATAGCAGAGGTAAGCGGTAACAAGAAGTACGTACGTCTGTAATAACTTGTGAATTCTTGCTTGTTTAAATTTCTTCTGTACGAACATTAAGAATTTCTGTGGAAAATAGCAGTAGAGATTGCCGGAAGAACATTGCAATCGGTTGGGTGTATCAATCAATTGAAAGCGATTCAAACTGTACTCGAGACCGAGATACTTTTGTATTGTCAAGCAAAGACTGAATGACGTGTAAAGTGCGATAACAGACCAAAGTTTTTACAAATACGATAAAGTGTACTTTTTTAAATTAATATGTAGAGAAATATTCAGGTAGAAATTTAGGTACGGATGCATATCTCATAAATTTTCTGCCTTGAATTAATGGGGAAAAAAAAAGCTTTATCTATCTTTTTAAATTTAACAAGAATAAAGTTTCAAACACTAACGAAAACTTAGATAACTTAAAGCTAAATACTGAAAGTTAACAAAAAAAAAAAGATTCTTTTTAATAATTTTTTATTACTTCCCAATTATCGTTCAGAATTCTAAAAAAAAAAAA